ACACTGATGGCCAGTGACCAGGCAGGAAGTAGGTTGCCAGGCAGGAAGTAGGTGGGACAAGGAGAGAGGAGAATTCTGGGAAGCCGAAGGCTGAGGAGAGACACTGCAGCCACCGCCAGGACAAGCAGCATGTGAAGACGCTGGTAAGCCACCAGCCACGTGGCAAGGTATAGATTTATAAAAATGGGTTAATTTAACATAAAAGAACAGTTAACAAGAAGCCTACCATGGCCATACAGTTTATAAGTGATATAAGCGTCTGAGTGATTATTTTATAAGTGGATTGTGGGACTGCGGGGCTTGGGGAACCTGGAGAGAAGCCCTCCAGCAACAAACTGGAAGAACATCCAGTGCTCTTAACTTCTGAGCCACCTCTCCATCCCCAGGAAAAAAGGTTTTTAAAAGCACCCCTTTATTATGTTCTGAATTTCTTGGTGTCTGTTGTAATGATTCCCTGTTCACTTCTTCTTTTAGTTTGTTGAGCAAAGGTCTATTTATTTATCTTCTTAAAGAACTAGCCCTTAGATTGATTGCTTCTTTTTATTGTTGCATGTGTTTCTATTTCATTAATCTCTGGGCTTGTGGACTTCTTTCTTTGGTTGTGTACCTAATGTCATCTTCTAGACTACCTTAAATAGGGCCAATACCAGAGCTGTGTGGCCAGATAAAGCTGGTGCATGAGCTACTAGACTGGACTTTAACTAGTAAAGCAAATGTGAGCCATGGTCTGGAGCTATGCCTATGGTTGTGGATATGACAGAGGGGGAGGTGGCAGTAACGGAGGAACTCATTAGCTAAAGTCAGAGCATTAGGTCCAGAGCAGGTCTTTGGGTGTTGAGATGGCAGCTGTGGATGTGAATGTGACTGTTTTCACTTCTTAATGATAGGCCAGTAATTGTGAGTAGCTAAGCATTCATTAGGATATGTAATTATTAAATGATTAGTAGTGTTATGTTTGTCTGTGACAGTATCTGGGTACTGCTAAAAGAAGAGGAGTGATTTGAAGACATGCACCTGAAAACAAAACAAAACAAAACCAAGAAAGAAACAAAAACCGAGAGTGTAACCTAGGAAATGTATATTCTGTTTTCCCTATAGGCAGAAAATAACCCAAGACCAAGAAAAATAAATGTGACAGTGAATATGCAACTGTCCATTTCCAGCCTCCTTCTGAGGACTAAAGTGAAGAAAAATGGGCCCAGCTAGTTACAGCACAGTACTCATGTTTTAACCATTTTTCCAAGGGAAGATTGAAGGAGAGGATGGAAGAAGGTACTGAAAACTCTGAATCTGATGCTTCTTATGAAGAACCACCACCTAGTACCTCTGGAGGAAGAACACACTCAATGGTAAGTAGTTCCCACTAATTTAAAAAGTGCTCTATTTCAGGATGAGGGGAAAAATTAATGTAGATGTTCTTTCTGTGGTACTGAAAAGACTTTCCCGACTTATGTATACTATCATATCGTCTGCAAATTGTGAAAGTTTGACTTCTTCCTTTTCAATTTGTATCCCCTGATCTCTTTTTGTTGTTATATTGTTCTAGCTAGAACTTCAAGTACTATATTGAATACATATGGGGAGATTGGACAACCTTGTCCTGTTCCTAATTTTAGTGGAATCACTTTGAATTTCT